AAAAATGAGTCCTGCTAGCCGACGTATGCTTGAAACCCTACAATGTCATTCTTCCATGCTCAATACTCCTCCGGTCGACTCCGTTCAGAGCTTCTTCTCCAATGAGGCTCATCAGTTTTGCTTCAGGCCGTACATGCAGCTGCAGGAGAAATGTCGGAGGCTGAGCTGGCCGCTTTGGAAGACTCCTCCTTCAGGAACCAGGCTGCGAGATGGAGAACAGGATCAGGTCCCAGAAGAATATCAGCAGCTTTGGCCAAGCTGTTCAACGCACTGCGCAGCATCAAGCCGGCTTGGTTCTCAATGGGAGTAGAGCCACCTGTTAGCGATGCCCTTCCTTTCAAGGGCCGCCAAGACGAAAGAGCAGCGGCGCTGGGCATTTCCACGGCCCTTTGGCTGAGAAAAGTCGCATGGATTATGTCGACCTACTGGAGGACTCTGGGTGCCCTAGCTGTTTTGCTCTTTTTCCCGCGGCTCGCGTCGGCGTTGTTAGCTATGATGATTCGGCTGGACATCCGTCTTTGTACGGCTTTACTGATGCGGGTGTTTCATGAACTTTGGTTGGAACTTGATGGGGTGGTCCACCAGTTGACCCTGTTGACTTCAGGCTTTGAAAACACCTTGGTGCAATACCTAGATGGGATCATGCATGAATACCGCCCGACTAGCGCTTCACCCCCTCCAGCACCTTCCGTGGTTCCGGCTTGGGTCGAGGGGGCTCAGGGCCCTCCCGCCCAGCCCTCTCAAGTGCTTACTCACTTGCTCCTTGCGCTCAACGTGCTGCTCCAGCTCCGACACATGCATGGTGGGTTGGGACTTGGCTGAGAGATTTTCTGCCTTTTCCGCACAGCTACCGCTGGCTGTGGGCACACTAGAGAAGATGCACGATTGGCAGCGCCAAGCTTGAAAAGCGCTGCGGTCTGCAAGCAAAGAGCCAGAGAGACAGGCATGAATGAACTCAGGATTCATGTATGGACAGGTCCAAAAAGGGCTGTGGCCCTGCATAGATCTTGAGAGGACAGTGATTTTGCTTGGCCTGCAGCCTCAAAGGTTCGCCGCCCCGCCGCCACTTGGCTGAGAGATTTTCTGCCTTTTCCACACAGCTACCGCTGGCTGTGGGCGCACTAGAGAAGATGCACGATTGGCAGCGCCAAGCTTGAAAAGTGCTGCGGTCTGCAAGCAAAGAGCCAGAGAATACAGACCCCCCCGCCCCCTTAGAATTGATTTTTCAATACAGACCCCCCCCTCCCCCCTCTAAATTCAATTCTCTCGTGGAGAACGTCTTCGTGAGCCTCTCATGATTTCAGGATAGTTGAAACCCTCTTGAACATTCAGAAAGAGTGCATATGAAATTCTAATCACGAAAGGTGTTCCCCGAGGGGATACATACCTAGAGTTTGTTTTGTGAAGCGCGTCAATTCTCTCCTGGGGAACGTCTTCGTGAGCCTCTTATGGTTTCAGGATAGTTCAAATCCTATGATGCTCCGATTCAATGCTCACCGATGATCTGAGCCATGGGGCAAGTTTGTTTTCCTCAGAATCTTGAGTGCATATGAACACATATTTACGACAGGTCGCCTCCGAGGGGATAAATCACCATGTCGAATTTTTGTTCCTGCCTCTCGCCTTCTCTTCTCTTCCCGCTGTCCTACCTTTCGCGTCTCCCTCCTCTCAAGTACGTAGTACTATATGTAGTTCTGAAACTCAACGTTTTAAAAATGCAGTCCAATGGCCGCCATGGCCATGGCAGAAAGTAATCCAACAATGACCCCTCATCGGTAATTATTCATGACGGCATCCTTGCTGTTTGGTTCAAGATGAAGGCCGCTGTTCTTGCGCGGCCAGCTTGGTAGTCGAGACCATGCCGAGGCGAAGGGGTTGACTTGGCTGGGATTGACTCGACCGCCAGAGCAATCCATGGGGCCCCCAGAGAGCTCAGGCTCAACGGCCATGTCAATGGCTCAGCATCGACAATGGGCCTTGTCTTTGTGGTCCAGAATGGACAGGAACAAAGATCGGGTCATGACTCTGGAAGAGTTGAACTGTGGGGAGTTCATGGAAGCCCTACGTGCCATTCTAACGGCGGCAATGGCTAGACAGACTGTCGGGAGCTACGGCCGAGCAGAGCTGAATCTGACGCAGGCCATGAAGTATTGCCTTAAGTTGGCAGACACTGACCAAAATGGTACGCTGGACTTTGAGGAGTTTGAGCGCTTCTTGCGCGATCTTCGCAGGCTTCCCTCAAGGCCGCCCATTGAGCTGGCCAGTCTGTACATGGCCATGTTCGACGCAGATCCGGATGCATTCCTACAGGCAGGGTTGCACCAACGTGATGCTTAAGCGTTCTTCAAGTCTTAGAACTTATAATGTTCCTTCAAACAGACCAAGTCTATATAACAGTGTTCTTCAAGTCTTCGCCGGTTCTTCGCACTTTAGAGCGAGTGGTTGATTCGCTCCTGTATGCTCAAAGTTCTGTTTGTCTTAATGGACCAGATGTCAGCCTACTTACCCAAGGTGTACCTTCTTGGGTTGCGAGGCCCTTTGACATGTCTGGGTTTCTAACACCTGTTTGTGCAAGCTGGGGCCTACTAGTCTGACTTCACTCTTGCTGTCAAAATTTTGGGGGTTGACGGAGCAGCGGAGAGTTTGTTCAGAAAACAAAACATGGTTGAGTTTTAAACGCTAGACCGCTAGACAAGACGAGGCAGTGAGGGGGTGCTTCTTTTCCCCAAAGCACCTGCGAAGGGTTCTCCTTCAAGAACGGCTACCAACTTCAACTGTGTTACCACCACCACCATCAGCAGCAGCATCATCATCATCGCCATCATCGTCACCATCACCATCGCCATCACCACCATCATCATCATCATCATCACCATCACCATCATCATCACCATCACCATCATCTTCACCATCAACATCATCATCATCATCATCAAGTGCATAGATGAAGGGGCAACACCTGTGTGACGCGTCTACATAGATACAGGTGTTTGGGTACAGGTGTTGAGACGCAGGTGTGGGTATACAGGTGGTAGAGGTGTTGAGATACAGGTGATGCAAGGTGTGGAGATACATGTGATACAGGTGTTGAGATACAGGTGACACAGGTGTTGAGATTGGTGAAGACACCAACTGAAATCTTTCTGACTACCCTTAAGGCGGCGGGGTGGCCCGGCCGATGCTCGCGCAACGCGACTCTCTGCAGAGATCGTGCGCGTCGGGCGGTCAACGTGAGGTGAAATGCAAATTTTGGCTGAGCGCGGGAGCCCTTTGCGGAGTTCGCGGGTGAGGTGAAATGCGTGGCGCGCCGTGTGGCGAAATTAGCTCTGTGAGTCTGTGATGTCTTTTGCGCGGCCTCGATGGAAGTGCGTTTGCGTGAGTCTGTGCCACTGAGGGACGGAAAACGCACTGGTGTAAATGCGGCGTGTCGCTGGCGGGATGATTGGTGGTGTCCATGAGGCTTGGTGTTACATTGTTGTATCTAGTCTGTGGCACACCGTGTTGCGAAATGACATTTGTGATGTCGCTGTGCCATGCGGTTTGCGCGGCCACGGTGGAAAGTTTGTGTGGCAGCGGGATGTTTGGCTGTGCCCACGAGGCTTGGTGATGGCACCATTATGATCATCATTTTCATCATCATCGTCGTCATATTATCATCATCACGATCATCATCTTCAGCACCATCTTCATTGCAACCCTAATCCTCAATCCTCATCATTACCCTCTGTTATCGCCTGCTGTGCTTTCGAACCAGCCCGTCGTGTAGTTCATGTTGCTGGCGAGAGCATTGGTTGTCGTTCGCAGCAGAGTTGAGTGATCCTTGTTCGACTTGCTAGATTGTTGGGCATCGTGCTTTCCCTTGGTTTCCTTCAGAGTGTCCATCTCAAAAAACCAATCGGCTCTCTTTGGAACAGCGCTTTCGACCACACTTCCTTTGTAATGTGCAAAATGTTCAAGGGTAGTGCTGAAATGCAAAATAGCCTGCACACTTGAGCATGCCTAAGCAACGTTGAAATACGTTGAATTTAAATGCATGAGATGTGGTCATTACCAAGCATAGAGCCACCGTTCTGGCGTAAACCAATTTGTTTGAAGAGTAGGCAACCAGGGAACTGGTGCAACGCAACCCGGTTTGGAGGAATTTGAGTTCCGGGACATGTGGAGATACTTTACTGGGCGAGCTCCCACAGCCGATGAGTTCCAAATGCATTGGTCGCAGATGGATGTGAGCAGGGTGGGCCGCATTTCCAAGAAGGCCTTGGCCAAGTGGTTGAAGAAGGGCGCTCCCCAGGCATTCAAAAACCTCGCGCCTCCGGTGAAAGGTGACACTGCGGAACCTTTGAGTCCCAGTTCGAAGAAGAGGCCCGGGGAGGTGTTCCGGCCGGCGCCGGGTTTGTGGCACAAGGCACCAGAAAAGTGGGAAAGCGCCCATGAGTGGAACAGTGTACCGAGAGACTTTTCTCATTTGAACCAGTCTTGGCGAGGAAGTCAGCGTATGAAGACCTACTTCTCACGGCCCAAGTCCCTCCCCGAACTGCAGAGGTTTTATGCCACATACCGGGGGTTCCAAGCTCACAAACGCAAATTGAAGATGGAGACACCCAAATTTCCGCCTCCGGTGCTGTCATCTGAAAGCTTCCAGTTCAAGTCGCAGCCTGGCTGGGAGCGTCATCAGCAATTTGCTCCAAATGTCAAAGGGTAGATGGGCGAGTGGATGCACCTCAGACCCAACCAAAAGCAGGTGCGAGATGTTGGCACGCTTTTGCTTAGGGTACCCTTGCCTCCAGCGCCCCACTTGGTCCATGGACGCGGAGCGGTGGACCAACCTGTAAAGTGAAGAGTGATTGCAAGAACCTTGCAAAGATTCACCCCGCAGCTGCGAAGCAGCTTTGGGAACCTAGGGCCGGCGGCCGTTTTGGCATTTTCAGAAAAGATCTTCATTTTTGTTCATGATGGACGGCTCATTGATCGAGCATTGGTTTGAACCTTGTGGACCCCAGGCAGTTTTGGACGCCTTTGCTGCAGATGATGTTGACGCCTTCCAACCTGATGCTGGGTTCATGGATGCCATGAAGCGGATTGTGCAAGATCGGGTCACCGAGGACCTCTCCCTGACTCTTGCCGCTTGTGGGATGGCAGACATCTGGATTTAAGTATGCTAAGGCCCACTTCAAGAAGCATTGAGCAAATTAAAAGCCCCCTTGACCCCGATCGACTTGGCAACTTCTTCCTTCCTGTCCTTTTCTTTCGACTCTTTTCCTTTTCTTTCTCTTATCGGACATGTCAACGTGTTTGTCTTGGTCTTCTTCTGCGTGCTTCTGACTGTGGGTGCGTGGTGGTCTAAGGATTGCCTATGCACTGATCCTGCCAGCGGAGTCCACGCTGATGCAGGAGGCCAAGCCCCCCATCGACCCCACGCGGCTCCACGCTGCCAGGAACCGCATCCGCAAAGTGATCGCCTCGGAGCTCAAGGAAGATTTGCAGAAGCGCTACGAGGAGTTGACGCCGCCGGAGGACGAGCCCTATGTACCTAGGCGACCGACAGAGAAGTCTGGAGAAGCAGGGGTGCGCAGGTGCAAGCAGGTTGAGGCATGTTGCGGATATTGCATTTGCAGTTTGTTTTGGTTTCTGAATTGATTAGATGTGCATGGTGCTTGTCGTGTGTGCAGCATCGGTAGGGGTGGGCTGCCGAACAGAGTTGGAAAAGGTGAAGAGGTATTGGACGCCGACCCAGAGATCCAGAATCCATGTTCCGAAGTGGCACGTTCTAAAGGGCGCAGTTGTCAAGATGGTGGCCAAGTGGCGCAAGGTCATTGATGGTCCAAGTGCAAGCAAACGCCGGCTGCGCAATGTGCTGCTGGCCTACCTTTGCACCTCAGGACACCACAATGTGCCCAGTAGTTTCCGTCCGCAAGTGGCCAGATAGTAATGTTTGTAGCCCAAGAGAAGAAGCTACGGAAAGGGCACAGTCTTTACCCGAAAAGGTATTGTAAGCAAGTACATGAAGACCAGGGTATTTCTATTATCGTTCTATTGTGCAACGTTGTTGAATCTGCTCAAGTGCCAGGAGATGCCAAGGCAGCAGAGCTTTGTGGCAAGCACTTCAAGAGGGCTGCTTATGCTTAAGGTCGACGGGTCGACGGTCTCACCTTTTTCCAGATATGTTTGATAACCTTGATTCTGTATGATTCTGTCTCGGGTTGGCTCACGCAGATTTCGAGATCCAAGGCCAAGGGCATGACAGATAAACTCGCGGCGTTCAGCTGCTTGTGCAATATGCCAGACTCAGAGGAGGCTCGGGGGCTGACTTGAGGAGTTGGGAAGCAGGTTGAAGCATCAGAAGCACTGTATTTCACTTGTCGAGTACAGTCATACTCCAAGTTTGGACAGCAAGACCAGTTTGGCCTGTTCCAAAAGGCCAAAGAGGCCATCGAACAGTTCTTGGCCGATGCAAAGGGCGACGCCAACGTGATTGACAAGCAACCAGACGCAAGAGGATGGGCTAGTTTTCGTTACTGCGACCGACAAAACCGAATCATAAGTTGCTGTTCCGAGTTCCAAGAGCCTGTTCTTTCATGTTCCTGCACTCCTGGACACTGTTCAGTAAATTCATAGTACCACGCCTTTGATACTTAGGTGGTTCGCTTCACAGGCACGAGCGGATGTTGATGATTTGATGCCTCGTGTGAAGAAGTTGATGGAGCATCCAGAGCTGACTGGTCTTAAAGTTTGTTGCTGATTGATGCTTTCCATGGCTCAGCATTTTTGCCTCCAGAGACTCAAATCAAATAAAGCATGCAGCCTGGTGCTTTCACAGAGCATTGTCCAAGAGTGTGGCTATCAGCCATGGGCTTCAGCCGGTCTCAGGTTCTCTTTGAAGAATCCCAATCGATTACGCTCAGTGGTCAGCGTCTTCATTTCTTCACCGCAATTTCACCTTCCAGATGGCTCTGGCTATGACTTTGCCCTGGAGATGATCCCCAAAGTGGATGCATTGAATCCCCAGGCAGGGCATTGGCGGACACTCGAAAGGTGATGCCCTTTGTCACTAGTAGCGTCCTTGCTCCTAGTAGCGATGCCAGGAGCCCCTAGTAGCTTCTTGTTACTTGTTAAGTTCTCCTGTGCTTCCACTGTGCTATTCTCCTCTTACCTTTCGAGGTTGCTGCACGCATGGCCAACGGTGCCTTCAGGACGTTCGTCGTGCATGTGCTGAAGGACTTGTCTCCTCTCATTTTCTGTCGGTCTTGGCAGGACTTGGCGGCTTCTAGATGAGCAGCGACAAAAGATGATCCAGGAGCGATTGGCGAAGCTTACTCAGGCCTGTCCATGGCAGCATGTCCAAAAGACAAAGAGATTGTAGATATTTGCAGATCAGTAAAGCATTTTTTCTACATGTTCTGATTGGTGCAGGCTGGACTCTCCAAGGATGCTGCAGAGATCGTGTCCAAGATGCAAGCCTGAGTCAGCCTTTGGGGTTCTGCGCCTGGAGGGATCCGAGATTGACGTATCACATATATACAATGGTTGTAGGTCATCGCCAGTGTGCTGCCAGCCAAGTGATCTTGGAATTGCTTCAAATGTGGTGGGGAGACTGTTTCTTGTAGCCCGTCGAGGGAAAGCTCGTGAACGTGTGGAGCTTTGCTTGCCAAATGGGCAGATTTTCAACGAGCACCCCTCACCGACAATTTTCAACCTCGCGGCTGCAAGAACTGGTGTTGCTAGATTTGCTTGCATCGCTTCGCAATGACATGATGGAACTGGTTTGGTGCACATCAAAGGTTCAGTTCTGCCTGCAGCACTTTGGCTTTAGGGATACAATCAGACTGCAAAGAGTTCTTTTCTATTCTAAGGGGGAGAGAGTTCGAATTCTAATGTCAAAGGCCACAGAATTCATTGTTGGTGGTATTCATACAAGGTGTTGCAGATCGAGGCAAGCCCACAACCCGCGACCTCAGACCAATCTTGTAGTAAATGGAGTATGATGAAGCTGAGCAGGCTTGAAACTGCAACACCTGCCACATAACATGTGATGTTGAGCATTTTGCTGCATGACCGCTAGGCATACTATCGTGCGGCAGATGAACGTCTGGTTGCAGAGGCGGGGATTTTTACCATCAACGTAACAAACGGACAAAGGTTTGGTCGACATGCCAAGCGCACTTTCAGAATGTCAAAGATCTATGATAGGGTCACATGTACAAGAGGATGATGCCAGTATAAAGCAGTCCATTCCACATTGTGTGAGAGAGCGACCCAGGGACAGAGGGAAAGAGTACAGTATCCCTGACAGAGTTCGCTGTCAACGTATGCCGTGGTTGTTCGACGTAAGAAAGCACCAGCTGGAACTTCCGCGAACAAACCGTTGAGATCCATAGCTTTTCTGGTGCTTTGTTTCATTTTACGTAGTTGACGTGCACAGAATGCGTATCCCCGTTAGAGTTCGCAGTCATCGTGGAGAACTAGTTTGGCTCTTGGGATATCAGAGCAAATTCTCATTCGCAGGCGTCTTCGTTTCAGACCTGACCTGGTCGCTCCCCTGGATCCGTGGAAACAATGTCCGGATCAAAGCGCCATATAGTATCTCTGGACAGAACTTCTGCGACGAACTTCCACATGACAATGGGAAGACAACTTCCAAACTAAAAACCCAGAAACCGGAAACTTCAGGACAGAATAACCCCCGGAAACCTTCTACTTCTGAAAACTTCTGGAAAACATCCGGAAACCACCAAACTTTGAAGTGGGACCCTGGAACATTAAGAGCTAAAGAACCTGTATGCAAAGTTTTGCAAGGGAATCAAGCTACCCAACCTCACCAACTCCCGAACGGCCAAACCCAGCCAATCAACAACACACACACACAAACCTGAACTAGAGGAGCTTGCAACTATGGGGTCAGTCCTGTCAACCTGTGGACGGAAGCCACACTTTTGCAGACGGGTGCTAGCTTTGGCTCCTCCAGCCCTCCAAGTAGTGCAAGCCAGGCCAAGCCAGCAAAGCCAGAGCAAAGTCTAAGAAGCCAAGCCAAGCCTGCCACCTGAAGCCAAACCCCAACGTGTAAACCCTAAACAATTGAGAACGGAAGCATGACAAAGCATTCAGTCCTGGGGTAGAGCTGTGTTCGTGTGATGGTGCTTTCATGTCCGCAACCGTTCGCCGCCGTTCGCAAGCGACCGAATGTGATCGATAAGGCCGTGCCATTGGGGAAGCTTTTGGAGGAGGTTTTGGATTGAAGCCTGAAGTGGCAGATTCGTTTGACATAGCGCAGAAACGTAACATGTTAAAGAGTGGAGGATGGTTTTGCTGCGCAGGTGCAGTGTTTCGTGAGATCCTCAGTTGCATCGCTGTGCCATTGGGATTTGCATTCGCAGGGAGGTGGTCTTTAGGAGGTGTTGGATATCGCTGTGCCGCCGGGACTTGCGTTTCAGGCTGTTGCCTCGAAGCTGTGATTTCGTGACAAGTGTCAGCTAAACATCTAAAGCTGCAACTTTGGTGGATGTGAGTGTGCTCTGAAAGGACTGTGCCAAAAGAGTGTCCTACAAAAGTGTCCGCCCTACAAGAGTGTCCTACAAGAGCGTCCCACAAGAGTGTCCTACAAGAGTGTCCCGCAAGAGTGTCGCGCAAGAGTGTCCCACAAGAGTGTCGCGCAGGAGTGTCCCAGAAGAGTGTCTCCTACTTAAGAGGTGACCCACAAGAGCGTCTCCTACAAGAGTGTGCCATAAGAGTGTCCTACAAGAGCGTGAAACAATGTTAGGCCATGTGTTTCTTGTCGGAACTCTGTCAATATTTTCAAAAATAGCCTGTAGACATCACCCCATCTAGGATACCGACAAGAACAGTCAAACATTATAGGAATTTATAGAATTTGTTGTCCTGCCGCGCTGCTGAGCCGGCAGAACTGTTACGGATCCCCGCAGAAAGACACACTACATATTTCCTGCTCAATTTCCCATTAAAAATGAAGCGCTATGGTCGAAGCATTTATTTTGAAAGAATAGGTCCCCACGAGGTGGCAAGCAAAAGCTGTTGAAACTGTTTGTTACGTGTTTTGCTGTTTTGCATGATTCGCTTCGGTCGTGCTCTGCTCTCAGCGCTGTTGCCAGGAGGTCGCAATTGATGTGGATGAGGAGGAGGAGGCACCTTTTTTTTTCAAATGTGCGCAAATTTGGCGTGGACACGTCGGGACACATATGGAAGTGTCACTTGTGGAAAGAACCGTTCACGTAACATGAAGGACAGAAGGCTCGCCAAAGCCTTCACAGCCTATATCCAGAAACACAAGGATGAGAAGAGTGAAGGCAAGGGACAAACGGACAAACTTGGTGTGCTTGTCACAGTGTTTTAAGCCAGGACGCATATAACAGAGGGTATAAAGAAAGGCTTTGCTTCACCAACCTCCGACAACTGGAGCATGTCATGAGGCGAGAACATCATGCCCATAGCCAGACCTGATGGGGATGAGGCAGCATGGGCGGTGGTAGTCCTTGGGCGCTCAACACAGTCAATCGACTGGTGGACTTCCTACCACCCCCAGACTCAGAGAGCTTGCAGAGAGCTTGGGCTCATAACCTACAGCGTTCTTTTCTCCACTTGATGTATCAAAAAGGGCATACACCATTTGTGCGTGCGCCTGACTGACTGGAGTTTGGACATCCTGATATTGCAACAAAGTTGGGTGTCTAAAGTTGTGGCGGGTGGCCTTGAGCCTGGACTGGAACAGCTACCAGCAATAGAAAATCGAGAATGTGATTCTTTCAAAGGTTAATTAAAGGCATGAAAACTCATTATGCAATCTAACATAGTTTACGGAATCCGGAGACAATCAGCTTCGTCCGGAGGCCCAAAGTGCGCAGATCTCCAGAGTGCGCAACAAGCCGAAGGCTGCAGACCAAGATGTGATCCGCTTTTGGAATTGGGATGACGGGCCCGGCTGTCTTTGGAATTGGACAATTATACACGCTATCAAGGATCGGATGTCAAGGTGTTTCTAATTGCCCGACATGATGAATTCTTGGTTCAAAAAAGCAAACTTTTCCAAGTTTTACAAGACAAGCTTGCATTTAGTATATGCAAGTTCGTTGAATCGGTAGTCAGAACCTCAGACACCCAACTCACAATACAACGACCCTAATGCCTTTTGACTTTTGATTAATTCAGCTCTTGTTTGTGTTCTCGTTTGCAAAGCATCAAGCGTGGCTGCCTCAGTGTGAGAGAGAGAGGTGGCTTTGAGCATTATATATATATATATTCCAACTCATGGACTTGTGAACACTGGATTTGGTTGCGCGAAGGAGACGCAGGGGCGCTGAGGCCATGGTGGAGCTTTTAGCAACCTTTGGCGCTGCCGCCAAGGTGTGGGTGTTGTGATCCGCTGATCATAGTGGAATCAAAAGAGATTAGAACAGGAAGATAAGGGCTGGGGGCCCCTTCACAATTCATGAAACATATCAATTATTGCCAAAATAGAGTCATGTCCACACACCACAAGATGTGTATCCCGCACTGTCTAGGCCTTTGAAGCTCAGACTAAAAGTCCGCATGGTAGCGGAGCCGGGACGAGGATTTCGATAGATCTCCTCTGAGCTCCAGCGGACGGGGACTTGACCCACATCCCCTGCTAGCTCGGGCCCCTCGTGTTCGCTTCGACCGCGCCGAGCCACCATAAACGGGTGTGGCAATCACTGCCTGTGGCTACCTCGAGCAGCAGGTCGAGAACGCCTTGGACTACATCTTTGCCCTTTGCTTGGAGGTTGATTTGGCCCTTGAGGAACACCTGAAGCTCCTACCAGCAGGTCATCGAGAGAGTTCTTGAATATAAGGTGGGAGAGTTTGCACTTTGAGGCGAACAGCATGGATGGCTCTGGAGGCCAGGAGGTCTATGGGTGGTGGCATCCATGCCGGAGCTCACACAGGCTTTGATCAATGCAGCCCAGTCTGCAGCCAAAGCCGCCCAAGCAGCTCAAGCGGCATCCTCTTCGAGTGGAGTTGAGGGAAGCAACAATGGAGTGTTGAAGAAAGATTTGGCGAAGCTCATCCCGAGGCCTGGTTCATTTTCGCCCTCAGACAGAGAGCAAGAGGTTCTTCAATGGAGGGATTGGTACTGGAGTCTCAAACAGTACCTAGTTGTGGTTGATGGCAGTTTCCAAGAAGAGATTGAACGCATTGAAGGAAACGCGTCAAATGAAGTTGAATGGGACTTGATGAGCAAGGCTGAACAAGAGCGGAGTCGATTTTTGTACAGCTTGTCGGGAAGCTTGGTGCAAGGACGCCTCATTGGTGTTGTGAAGAATGTGGAAAGCTTCAATGGCTATGAAGCTCTTCGACAGATGTCGAGCAATTGCCAGCCCCAAGCACGCAATCGCACCATGAATCTCCTACAAGGGATTATGGCATATCCTTCATTCAACATGAAGGGATCGTTGTTGCCCCAGATCCTCAAGCTTGAAGAGCACTTCCTTCAGTATGAGCGGTTGAGAGGAAGCAAATTGTCCTCGGACATGAAGTCGGCAGCTCTTTTGAGGGCAGTGACCGGCCAGATGAAGGTGCACCTCAACCTCACGCTCAATGAGGGAAGCTCCTATGCAAGGATCAGAGAAGCAGTCTTAGCCTTTGATACTGCAACTACGAAGTGGAATGAATCGGCGGCCTTGTCATTCAATTCGAGCCCAATGCAACCCGCAAGTGAGCAAGGAGGACCAATGCCGGTGGAAATAGCAGCTAGCGTTAGCGGCCAGCAGACTACATCATTGTCGACTACAGCCACCAGTACAACCGCCGGAACAGATGCAAATAAGATCACCCGAAGAGTTTCACAGCCCCTCTTCTTCGACCTTCGAGAAGAAAGTGATGGAGAGGGTGGCTCAATTCGCACGTTGAAGGAGCAGGACAATGCTTTTATGAGTGTGGATTTTTCCGCATGGACATTGACGAGGACGAGAATGCATTGAAGTCAAGAGTGGACAGAAGTTCGAAGTGGAGAGTGGAAGGTGGCCAGAGCAAGATGAACAAGATGAGGAGTCCCTCACTATCATTGTGGACTCGGGTGCTGATGCTTCTTTGTTTCCGGGCCATCTGATGAACAAAGGAAAGCAAGTGCATGAGGTGTCGCCTCTTCTCCAAGATGCTCAAGGCACCAGGATTCAAACCTATGGTCACAAGGACATTGACATTGTCCTGACAAGCAGTGAAGGCAGGAAGGTGGTTCTTCGAGAGCGTGTGACCTTCTGCGATGTGGTGAGCCAGCCCATTCTCTCATTTGGGAGGTTGATGAAGGCTGGTTGGTCAATAGATGGAGTGGTGGAGCGCTTGAGAAATGGTCCAGTGGAGGCGCCGTTGACGTTTCAGAACCGCAGTTTGTTGGTGAAGGGATGCCTTAGAGTGATTCGACAAGCCAACACGGTTCGCACGTTGACGGTTCAGCTCAGTGAAGAATTGAAGAAAGCAGCTGAGAGTGGTTTCGGCTGGCAAAAGAATAACTACCAGAACCCGCAGTTTATCCCAGAGCTGAGAACCCAAAGTTCAAAGATGCGCAGGTCTACTTTGGTACAGCGTGGAGAGCAATGGGAGCTTGTGGAAATCGCAGAGCTTTTGACGGAGCTCCAAGATCAGGAGGGGGAGATTGAGGAACTGCGAGGGCACGAGCAGAGTAAAGTGCTCACGTTCGTGGCTGAGGAAGGCAACGACCCTGAAGCCTTCAGTTTCAAGATTGAGGACGAACAGAGGAACCCAAGGCCAAGTCAGTCTGACTTGGAGGAGTTGGAGGTTCCGAAAGCGCACACAGATGAAGACTTCGAAGAGTTCTCTGGAATAGAGGTTCCAGGAGGAGTTGAAGACGATGGAGTTGATCTTGATGACCAAAGAGTTGAGCATGAGATTGGAAGGCCATTCCGAGGAGCATCAAGGTGAATGGCATTGAGTTGACGGCAGATTCGCCTTTGAGGAATCTCAGAGCAGCCTGTGGATTCTACAACATCGGTCAGAGTGGAGGAAAGGAAAAGTGCTATGGACGTCTCTTGGATCACCAGAACAAGCTGGAACTTCTTCTAGCCTAGCCAAAGACCTTGCGGCAAGGGGACTTTGAGGAGCGGATTCCCATCGAGCAGGCGGTGGCAAAGATGCCTACTGAAGAAGAGAAGAAAAGGCATTACTGGACTCATCTTCCTTATGCTGGCTGGTGGTCGTCTTGCATGAAACACAGAGCAAAGCAAGACCAACGTAGAAGGACGGGCAAGTCACATGAACAAGGAGTCCCGACCATCTCTTTCGACTTTTGTCGAGTGCGAGCCAGCGGGTCAGGTGCCTTGGGCCAACAAGAGCAGGACGAGGCGCAAACTGGGGTAGCTGAAGAAGGAGGAGCTTTGTTGCTCGTAGCGGTATGCTCAGAAACAGGATCATTGATGGCGTTACCGTTGAAAACCAAGAACCAGATGTCCCTGATCACCCACGAGTTGATGGCGTTCACCCAGGTCCTAGGACATGAAGCGGTGATGTACTTGGCAGACAACGAGCCAACAGCCCGGCAGATTCTTCGATTGCTAGTGGCTTCTGGCAGTGCTACTGGATTGAAAACGACTTCAAGAACAACAAGAATTTATGACTCGGCTGGGAATAGCCTTGTGGAAAATGCAGTCCAGAGAGTGAGGAGCTTGGCAGCGACTTTTGATGGAAGATCTTGCTGGAAGAGTTGGATTGAGATTCAGTTCGCAACACCCTTTATGGAGTTGAGCATGCCGACACAGTGCATGGCTGATCAATCGATATCAACCCTTCCAAGGTGCAACCAGCTATGAGCTCAGCCAAGGCAAGGCCTATGAAGGGAAGATCAGTCCATATGGGGAAGTCTGCTTCGCATATACCAAGCCGAAACAAGGTTTCAAAGCAGATCCAAAGTGGAAGATTGGCATTTGCTTAGGCAAGACAGATCTGCAAGACAATTGGATCATTGGAGATGGCAACCATGTATTCCTGAGCCGGTCTGTGAGAAGGGTGGCTAATATGAACAAGGAGTACCTGGCTTGTTTCCAAAACTTCACAGCATACAGTTGGGAGTATCAACAAAACTTCGGAGGAAGAATTGTTCCGTCGAAGAGACTTGCGTCCATGGTTGGCGCCCAGATCAATGTCCCTTTCCCAGAGGTAGCAGATGACGATCAAGATGCCAAAGAGGTTCTTGCATTTAGCAGGTCCTTTGCAGGGAAAGTGGAGGAAGCCCAAGGTGAAAGAGAAACAGCCTGAGTTGAGTAAAGAAGATGTGGCGGAGGAAGCTCAGGTTCGAGAAGATAAGAAGAAGACCTTTGAGGAGGAGCCAATCCCGGAGTTGGTGCCAGTTGGAACAAAAGACTCTGACCAGGTTGATGAGAGCAGGAATCAGGCAGGTCCTTCAACACCGAGACCTATGGCTCAGAAAATGCCTGCGCCCCAGAGTGGTCAAGAATCAGAGGCAAGAAGCTGAAACAGACAGTGGTGAAGCCACTTCATAGTCTTCAGGCGGATTCACCAGCATCAAAGAGATTGAAGGCGGATGATACAGTGACACAGGTGGGTGAAGATATCTACTACCACCTTGATCAAACAGTGGGGCAGGAGGAGCTGTGGTCCTATGACTATGAAGTTCATGAGGCCGAAGAAGAAGAGAAACATGAAGTGCCGGAAGCTTTGTGGTCAGAGGCACCACTGGACAGAACCCCACCAGATCCACCGAAGTGGATAGATGATCTGGCAGACTCGGTGGAAGAATGGAGGCTGAAAAGATTAGGAGCGCTGGAGTCTATTGCAGAGCTGAAGGAAGACCACAAGCTACTGACGACCAGGTTTGTGAGAGACTGGAGGATCAAACCAAATACCTTGAAGGAAGGGTCACCGAAAATGTTCTTGAGACGCTCACGTCTGGTAGCCAGGGAGTATGCCAATTGCAAGCGAGATGATGTCCACAGTCCTGCAACAGGATCACAAGCGTTGAGATTTCTTCCTGCGGTCTACTTGATGAGGAGGCTTGAAGAAGAGTCAGGAGGGCCAAACTTCGTGTTAGGTGCCTTGGATGTCAAAGATGCCTGGTTGCAGGTGCCTCAGGAGGAGCCCACGCAAGTGACTACCGCAGGGGGACATTTCCTAGTGAAGCGCAACCTGCCAGGACAGAGGATTGGTGCAAAAGCATGGTTCGAGCGCTTGACATCACGGCTGAAGACCGAGGTATTTGTCTTCTCGCAGGTCAATCCATGCTTGGGCCGCTTGGAGTCAAAAGCACTACTGTTACTCCTTATCCACGTTGACGATGTGCTGTTCACAGGAGAGAGAAAGTATCTTGAAGAGAAGTTGCTACCAGCATTGAAAGAGAACTATGAGATCTCGGTGCA